CGTGATCGATCATCGATCACCATCACGAATATCAGCTGAAATATATGTACATCCATCATCGATGTATGCATATTTTCAGCTGAATATCGATAAGGATCAATGTAGATTGAATCTCAATCTTATTCTGAGTCTTAGGTCATTGAACTTGCTTAGATGAGACAGAGCAGACATCAGCGATTACTTGTTCCATTTTTAAGATATTATGATAACGCCAAAAGTGCTGTTGTAATTTGATAGGCGATAAACTGCGTGAAATAGTGGAAGAAGCATTGAGGGAACAAGCAACGGCTGAGGAGTTGCACGCTGAGGAAAGGGCTCTGAAGGATAAATGTCGGTCGCAGCCTGCGACTCGCAGGAACCACTTGTCCCTCGTGCATCCTTTGATATAGAAAGAAGTCTATTCTATCAAGAAATTAACTAGCTAATCTGAAGGAAATGTGGTATGAGTCGTATGATATACGACATGTGTCGGTAAGAAATCGTCACCGACAATATCAAAATTCCGAGGACATTTAGGGACATTCTTGTTGGTTTCTGCGCACTTCTACCCTAGCTCGTTTGTGAACTTCTAGGATTAGTGAGGAAACTCTTGAGCTCAGCTGAGGAAAGCGAACATATTTTCCAACACTGTTCTTTCCCGAAATATTATTCTTGTCAGTCGTGCATGATCTGGCCAAGGTGACGGTGATGAACGAGAAACTTGAGAAACTGTGCAAGGCGTTACACGAAGAAAACAGGAGAGTCCGCGAGGAAGCGGAGACGATTACTTCACGTATGTGAGAGATGAGCGACGAATGCACTACGAGACACATAGCCTGACATATACCACAGACAGAAGGAACACCTGAATTTCAATATGGGCTGCCTTTTCCCGAAACCGCTATCATCTATCATAGTCTGTTCAGCCCATACTAGAGCTCACTCTATCACCATCCCAAGAGCGATACAGTCGATGAGTACACCGTTGTTGTTATAGATGCGGACGAAAAACAAGATAAGATGCAGAAAACTATTACTAATGTGATGAGCGATTTCAAGAAGGAATGTGCAGAGATGGAGGAGGAAAGGAAGAAGACGGCTGAGGAGAACACCATGTCAGTTACACTCTGGAAATACTCCCCACGAGTGACGGGACTTTGTGATAGAGTTCTTATTGAATAATTACAGACTCTGAATCTACGGAAAATTCTCAGTTGTATAGTCATTCCGGCTCCCTCTGTCTGTTTCGGACACTATATCACGGAAATGGGCCACCCGTGTTATATAATGATCAATGATCATTAAACAAAATCGTAACCTACGATTTGTAACGTCATCGAGGAATCCTCAACGACGTTACAATGGTCGCAATTTACTCAATTTATGCACAAGGTTTGATATCAGGTGTATTGCTTAGCTTTCTCGCTATTCCTGATCACTGTAACGGTTCTCCTCCTGGGCAGGCTTAGTGCGAAATTGAAAGGGCTCCTTGAAGATGTTAATGAACAGAGAACGGAGACTCAGACCAAACAGAAGATGATGGATGATCTTCTGGAACAGTATAAGAACACACATCACGAACAAAACGAAACCATCAAAAAGTTATGTAACGAAGTAAGTGACCATCGCTCGTAGAAGTGTTGGAGTGTACGAGCGCATTCCTCAGCTGAGCTCAGGAGTTTACATGTACAGTGGGGTGGAAGCGTACAGAAACCAATGAGAATTTTCCAGAATCTCGTCAGAATTTTCATATTGTCGCAAACACATGTAGTTGAGCATGTTACGTGCTCCATGTGCACATTTACCCACACTGGCTCGTTGCTCGTTAGTTGAGCTCGCTTCGGCGAGTCAGCCTAAGAAAGGGAGCGATATCCCCGTCTCTCTGTGATCAGCGTGACTCACTAGTGTTGTGTGTGGAGAAACAACGAGAGGAGATAAAGGAGTACAGCATGAAGATCGACGATATGGGCGGCGTATTCGGCAAGTCGACTGAGGCGTTGAAGAAGCTCAAGTGAGAAGTTCGCCGTTTACACTCACCGCTGTTGATGACTATTTATTGAGATCATATACAGTTAGATGACCACACGAAGCGATCGCTCGCGTTGCGAGCCTCGCGATATGATCACCTTTATGCGAACTCATTGCGATCGACTGTGGTCGACAATCCTATTGTATTTTCTATGACTTGTGACTCTCGTGAAGTCGGAACTTTCCAACGATGCACAAAAGAGGGTCATTAGTCTTGTAAAACCTCTGGGGATAGTTCTTCAGTCATTATTTTGACATATTGACTCACTAAATTGTGACTGCACTAATCGATTGTATCAGCAACACTACAGCCAGCACGCTTTGGGGACAGATATCAGTGTCAGCTGACACAATCAAAATATTCGTTTGATGTGGACGATCATCTTAAAATAGAGAACATGAATCACTGGAAACACGGTTAATGTAGACAGAGGAAGGAAGTGTGTTCGCAATGATCAGATCGGAAGTGGACCGACTCAAACGTGATCGTGGGATGATGGAACAGAGAATTCGAAAAGAAACGACTCAACGAGAAGCTCTCGAGAATTTGAGTAAGATGCTTATGCAATTCTGAGTTGTATTTGAGCCGCGAGATGAGAGGAAATAACTTGTGAAAGGTCACCACTACATCCAAGACTTGTTGACGTTTCAGCTTGGAACACTATTTACTCAGTGTTGAATCGTGAATTTGCATGAGGAGAACATACATTCCTTGAAGTTCCCTTATCTTGGGTACGAGACCTTTTATATCATATCATGATGTCGCCATCACATCTGGATCTATCTCGATATTTTTCCAGATGAGTTATCAAACTTGTCTACTCCATCCTGAATAGATCGAGTTCGTCATCAGGCCGATCACTCCAGAGTCAAAGAAGCGAATTAACCATGGAAGTGCAGACGATGAAGAAACGTATGCAGGAATTGGAGAAAGATAACCGACATGATAATCGAAGTTCATAAGGATATTTCGACACCCACAATGTGTGGCGTTACAACATAGAAACAAATGCGTGAATACAGAGAATACAAATACAAGCCGAATACAATCCGTTAAGCAGCCAAGCCTGACTCGGAGTCCATATACTGATGTCCTGCAATTGCGACTCGCGATGCGCGAGCTAGTTGACGAGTCTTCTCAGCTGATCTCAGAAGTTTTCTCACCATGTTATGGAAATTCATAGATGAGTTTGGGAAGAGGTGTACTTCAAGTTTCGGTGCGAAACCAATAAGCATCTCACGAAATTTTCTCAGAACTTCTATAGTGTCACCAACATATGTGGTTGACCATGTGCATATTTCCCCATACTGGCGAACGTGTATCACTCAGCGGGTTTTCTTGCAAAATCAATGAGTATTAAAAGCATGTTGCCGCTTCTGATCAACGTTGTTACAGTGTCTGAGTATCGCGGGTCTGAAAATCTAGTGGAGCCTCTAGAGCAGCTCGATGTTGTAGACGCTGCCTATCCGGAACAACTTTATGATGATGTGTCGCACTTTAAAGCGAGAGAAGAGTTTAGAAAGGTGTGAAATTATTCGTGCACTACGAATCCTGGAAAGGATGCAGCACGCTTCAGGGGGAAAGCAAGTCGATCAATCCATACGACTATCTAGCTAAGACGACCGAAGCCGGAATAATAATGGCATTCGTGACGCTCAAGTTGGTGAGTTTATTACTACCTATATGTTGTTGGATGCTCGTCTCAGGAGTGGTCGTTGAAGTATCGCAAACTCGGGACTGACCAGTTAGCTGACGTTTGGAAGAGTAGACTGACACTCGGCGGTTTAGGAAAGGTGAATGTGTGAGTGAGAGGGGCTCCGCTCAAATCGCTCCGTGCTCGTTTCTGTATTTTTCGACGCCGGTGAATTACGATAATTCTTCCAAGTGGTATGGTCAACCTCTGACTTCCAGAGAGATCCTGGAACTCCTCCGTCGCTCGAATTGAGTCACTCACGTGAATTGAGTCAACATAGGACGCGATCATGCTTCGGGCACAACGCTCTTCTCGTTCACCCTCTCTCCACTGCTGAGAAATCACTTGTATAGTATGAGCTTATTGCTGCCCGAATGATTTAATCGATGTGAGCATCATCATGATAAACCGGTTCAAGATGGGCCCGCCTGCTTTTTCAAGTGATTCAGGGCTGTGGTCTTGGAGGAACAGAAGTGGGGGAAATCGATACGTGCTACTCTTAGGTACTCGTTCGATCCAGGCAGGATTTTATTGGTCGCCAACGATGGCAACGAGATGAACGATGCTCAGCGGTTCATATTGAATCAACCTGAGACGGACATGTGAGTGAACTGTTTCCAGTTCAGTTTCCGAGAAATGATTTCTAACGCTTTCAGTTTCGAATACCAGCAGGAGAAGTATTTCCCAACTGGTCGGGTTGAGCCATTGAGCACTCTACAAGAACGGCAGTCTGCTGAAGACGAAATGCGTAGAGCAACGATGAAACGCCGAGTGAGAAGACCGGTCGCGTTTACCCAGGGTATTCAGAAGTTCTGAATCAGAACATAACGAAGTTTCATTCATACAGTTGATGGCTGCCTCATTAGGATCGCACTCAATGTGGTTCAATGGTCCACAGTTTGAATGGTAGGTCACCGCGCAACGTTCACCGCGATGACCGCGATACGATAAACGAAAATACCACTCCGCGCCACACCGCCACCAAATACCGTGTTTTCGGCGAAAAATTTTCACCGGTTACCATCCCACGAAGCGAAACACACGTAGATACCACTCAGAGTGGTATTTAAGCGGGGTCCACTCCTATTCAGCACGATTATCTCCGTGCCACGGATACCATGGAATTCTTCTCGACTGCCTCGTAGGACAAAGCTTGATGATTAAAATGCCCAACAACGGGTGGGTTCGTTCCCGTTGAGTGAGAACTCCTCACTCGCATATCTCAACCACGATTTCGAAACGTTGAGACACTTCCGCAACAAAATATGCGGGCCGCATGTACACTGTATATTGTACTGTGACCCTCCACCTTCCAGCATTGTCTGTACATGCAAAATTTACATTGCGAACCGTTGCACCACTCCTCAGTTTGCCGCAACCCGAGTGACCTAGCTCGAGGGTAGGATTCCCATATCCTAGACTTACATGCTTCGGTGACTGGAGAAACATGAGCTTTGAAAGCTCAGCTCTTCATATCTAGTTTCTGGCAGAAACTTTCTGCCGTATTTGCCCTTTTGTGTCTTACCGTCTTGGGCAGAGTAACAGCATTCGTGGCATGACGAAATTCTCCGTTGAAAAATGTCGCATCTGGCGATATGGCATCGCCATAGCCATGGCCGTGTGTTTACCACGGTACGTGCTTGCCGCGGTCACTGTCGAGATATCCCGATTTTTACGAAATGGTAATCATTTCGCGGCAGCGTATCGCGGTTAACATACCGCGGGTGTATCTCCATTGTATTGAATGAGTAAACTACATAGATCGCGATCAGTGTTGCCATATCATTATGATTTTATCATCACTGAAGGGGCGTTAGTCAATTACCGCAGGAACGGATTCATCGATAGAGACCTGGCTGCTAACCCGGCACCGTGCTCCTGATTACAGCGTAATATCAGATACCATCTCAAACGAGAACAGTGCTCGGAGAACTAGAAGCAACGAGCTATAGATATTAAATTTTCATTTTGACATGTAGTTGTTCCCTCAGGAAACTTTCCTGGGATCCTGTGCCGCACGGAGTACCCGATTCTCATTGATATTGTGTAGTTTATCTTCAGTGGTAATACTCGACAACGCCAAGTCGACGTTTCGAGTGTATTAATGCCACAGTGAACTGGTTCGAATCGAAAGATAGAATAACGAAACGATTTGTCCCATCGATTTATCGCTGCACAAAGACTTCGTATGCTAAAAGTCACAAATGAACTACATAAAGATACAGGGACAATGAGCCCTTACCAAGAACACACCAATTGTCCTTGTATGGCCAAACGAAACCGATTTACACCGCGACGATATAGTTCTTAGTAGCTGCAGTCCAGCTGCTGGCCTTACCATTGGCCAGTGGTAAGTCCAGTATTGGCAATACTCTGGCGAAATAATGTTTATCTTATTAAACCCGGGTTTGTTATCGATGAGCTTGATCGAGCAATCTTGGCTCAAGTTGCGATGATGCGTTCATAGCCTAGCGATCGAGAGTAATACCTTACGTGAGGGAAGCTTATGGTGTCGGCGGAGATAAGTCGTCGTGATTAATTAACAAACAAGTTGTGCGGCACAAAGCACTGGTTTCTTGAATGGCTCGCGGGCATGATTCGAGCTCTTGGTAGTGTCGATCCTTATGGAGCATAATTTGTGGTGGCGGCGTTTTTAAAACGTCGCTTCATCCCTCGCCGTTCATCGGCACATTAAATCTGAATGCATCCGATGGAACGATGATCGTTCCTTCTCCGGCATGTAATCACTATTAGTGATTCACTAACATCCGGATGTTAGTGAATCACTAATAGTACGCACGCAGATTCCGCGTCCCAAAGTACACGTTTTCGCCTTTCTCCGTCCACGCAAAACCCCCCAGTCGAACAGAGTTTCATGACAGAGAGCCGACAGAGAGCTAAACAGATATCGACGAGTTGGTTTTTTTATGAGCGGAAACTGGTGTGGAAGACTCAGTCCGACAAGCGCTTCCTACATAGCCATCAGACTGTCTTAGACCAGCGTAGTTGACTGCATTCATGTTCCTACTGCAAGCTGTCGTAGTAACGTCCAAACCGACACTGACATAGTTACCAGTGTGGCACACTGAGTGTGCGGCAGCCCGCCAGAGTCGCAATGATTCTCGTGATCCATTCTCTCGGAGAAGACCTCTCCGAAAAGTCGGTCATTCTAGTAAATCTTGCCGAAACAAATTGACTGTGGAGGTTCCAAAGCTGGGGACAACTGAGCTCTCACGTTCCCAGCTCATGCGTGCTACTCGATGCTGATGGAGGACTTCAAAAACTGCGGAGACACTTCTTGATAACATCATCGAGAACAACACGAACAGCCTGAACTCCAGGCCTTGGAGTACAAGGCTTATGGCTTTCTCCTGTGGCCTCCTTCGGAAATACTTCCCGACCAGTGGTGTCCTTGTACATTCTAAGTTGGAATTTCCAACGTAGACTTGTGATTCCGAAGCCATATTACGGCATGTCAATGGTCTATCATTCATTCATCACAATCACCTGCATCTGGTCTTTCTGGGAGAGCTCAACCCTGGCCATAAAACAAGCCAAAAGCATATTCGACGACCTCAAGGCTCATAGAGGTGCGACTGAGTTCACCATATCGACAGCCCATTGGAGCAACAACAGCAACTCCCCATCTTCAGGATTGGTTTATACTCCTGCAGAAGAAGCCCAGCATTTCGCTCGTTTCGAGGAGGAGTTGAGGATCCAGTCCGAACTCATCTCGACTGAAGATTTGACGGTCCTCTACGATGAGACCAGACCGGCCATCATGCAGAGCCTCGTTGACGAGATCAATTCCAAGCAGAACACATGGACCGCGTCGACTGGGCAGAAAAGATTCAAGAGTAGCTCTACTTCCCAAGTGTTTGTCGAAGCATCAGTCTTCTTTTCCTCAGACCTCTCCCTACGTGATGCTAGGATGTTATGTGGAACATTGAAGAGAGGGTCAAACGACATAAGAAAAGGCTACGCTATAGAGGAGCTACAAGACCTCCCCACTGACTTCGACGCTCGCACCGCATTTCCCAACTGCTCAAAGGTTATCGGCCACATCAGGTAGCTAACTGGCGACTGTGTGAGAAAATGCTGCTTCGATCTCCAGAGACCAGTCAGCTTGTGGGAGCTGTTGGGCATTCGGTGTCACTGAGGCCTTTAATGACCGCCTATGTATCAAGTCGGATGGGGCGTTCACGGAGCTCCTATCGGCCGGCGAGATGAATGCTTGTACGCTGTGAGTCGAGGATGCAAGCCTTAGCCTGGGAGCTTTCCAATCGGTACTTACTGCCCAGGTTCTTCGGATGCGGTGGTGGAGATCCTTACTCAGCCTGGTCTTGGGTGCACGATAAAGGGATCGCAACTGGTGAGGGGAGTCGACCGAAACGAGTCTCGGAATCCGAGGCGAGTTTGCTATGACTTATCCTCGACAACTCGATAGCCATTCATGTCTACAGAATATACACGGGGGGAAACCCACACTGTAGTCCACAGTGTAGGTCTCCCCCGTCTACAGTCTGTAGACGCTGGGAAATATGATGATAATCCCGGCACGGATCGCTGTCGTTCTCAGCGATGAGCCGGCGACGATGACTCCTGTTGTAGCATCGTCTGGGACGACTTATCCC